TGTAATGACTAGCCCATTCAGGGGTATACACAGTAATTCAGGATATAGATTTTGATTAAGCTATACAGTGCATAGAAGAATGAAGCTATCATTACACACTCCAGTCCAGTGTAACTCATCACACAGACTCTTGTCCATATCTTCAATCAACATGTGCATACTGTGCCTCTTCACTGTAGATAAAACCCCCACAACTATAGTATTTGGACTTGGAAGCAACCCTGGTACTACAGCAGCTTTGAAATGAAACTGAACCAGCGCACCAGGTAGGTATATAACAGGACATCTTTTTCTCAGCACTATTAAGGTACATTTAGAACTCATTAATGGATAGTCCTTTAATATTTCTTATTCCATTCATGCTGATGTCATGTACATGTTCAGATTCAGGTACAGGACATAAGGAAAATACAGATCAGAAGACCATGAGATTTTTTATACTACTCTTTTTTCAAACATGTTTTATACTGTCTTACTTGCTACTACCATAAATTGGGAAAATTAGTGAAGATAAGTCACAAAATCATGGGGGCAAATCAGATAACCCTAAAGCAAATACCCTCTACAGACAGATGGTTGTAAAGAAGGCCAAAAACATTATGGAGAGTGTGGCTCATCGCCTCCACTGTAGATTCACACCTCTCCCATCTGGGAGATGCCTCTGTGCCCCTACTGTAGGTATAATAGTAAAAGACTGCAGTTTTATATAATAATATTTTTTTTAAAGGCTATAGTTAATGTGTAAGATATAAATCAGCAAGTGCTTCAGCATTTCAATTTAAATACAGTACACATATTTACTGAACATATATGTAGGAATTTATAGTGATGAAAGGTACTTATATTTTTAATTCACTTTAATATGTGGTGAAATGAACCGCTATTAAATACAGCTCTCTTCACTCTGTGGGTAATTGCTAGGAGAAACTAACTACATTGCACAAAATTGTACAATTAGAGTATATACATTTCAAACTCATTTTGAATATTCAAAAATACAAGAGTAATGGGTTACACTTTAGAAGAAATTGCCCCGTCAATTGTATATAACTATATACATACACCAATATGTATATTTTTTTCACATAATAATAGATGCAGACTCTTTTACATTATTTAAAGGCACTATGTTGACTTTATTTTGTATAGAACACAAAAGACTTGGAATTTAAAAAGTTATTCAATCCCAGTTATTTAAGACACATGTTGCAGGTCTTCTGTTACCTCTAACCTCTTGCCTAAAGCTATCAACCTCACCATAATGCTCTGCCAACTTGTATTAAAATCAATAAGCAAAACCCTCACTCTGATCTAGTTGAACAGCTCCTCAGAATACCAGATCATCTGATATGGAAGTAGGATAGACAAGAACACACCCATGCAGGAGTTGCATAGCAGCCCAGATTTCCAGCCTCGCTGCTTCTGACTAGACAGCTGCCAGTTTCTGCAAATACCCAAAGGAGCAGAGATACTTCAGCATTGCAAAAATGCTACCACACTGCTCCACCAAGTGGCCATTTTTCAAAAGTCAATTTCTTGTGCTTTTACTCCTGCATACTGTAGTCCGGTGGTTCAGAGTCTTAAAATCACTGTGGCCTGAGCCCGGGCTTCATCTTCATGTCTTCAAGTCCCAAAGATGTTACAAAAATACAAACTACAACCACAAGCATAATACAATCTAAAAAAAATTATAGACTTAGTAGCTGACAAATTCTCTGAACCCATAGCACCTTAAAAATATTTGGACTAACACATTTAAATTTCAAATATTCTATCACACTCACATTTTGTACATTTTGTATAAAGGGAATAGACTCTAAGATCATTGCAGTTCTCGCTCCAGGCCTGTAAACCACAATACAGAAGGGTCTCAACATCTGTAAATTTAACACTTGCGAATTCTCTTGTTCACGATTCATTCTGGCAGACAGGGTCTTGGATGAAAGAAGAGCAGGGCTGGATGAAACCGAGCTTATGGTTGTTAACCTCAACTTTCAAACTGTAGAGCAACAAACTGGGATTATGAGACAAACCTAGCTAGTGAGTGAGCCTCTCCATGCTGCCTGCCCAAGTACCCCCTACCCAGCATCTGTGTCTCAGAGTGGTCTTATTTTTATATAGTAACAAACGCTCCTGAGTCTGTATCGGCAGGAGACAGGGAATGACAGGTTTATTAAAAACTGAGAGTTTTATTACCCATTTCATTACAGTGGGTTGTGCTAATTTGAGATTAGCAGATCAGACAGAAAAAGTGGAGGCTGGATACAGAAAAGGCATTCATGTTGTTTATTTTAAGTTATCGCTTTAGGTTTTAATTACTGTTGTTTCTTTAAGTTGAGCAATGTATTTAAATTAACTTAAGTCAATGGATTAGTACTTTAATTATGATCTAAGGGAGGGTTACAGATGTCTTTTAGCCAAACATGATTTTTACTGTAGTACATAATGTGACAGCATAAAGGATTACTTTGTTTGGCTATTCA